TTTCAAAAATTGAGTTACATGCATATATTACTTAACTCAATAATATCAGTTTTTAGCTGTTAATTGTTGATAATAGAGGGTCCAGCCTGAGCTTTTTTTATAAAATCCCCTAATGTGTGAATCTCCACAGATGAGCTTACGGGGCACTGAGCGTCGACGCAGACACAAGGCGCCACAGATTGTAGAGACATGGGGCTGTAAACAGCCTTCATGCAGCATCATCTATCATGGCACGGTCCGTTAACTTGCCATCATGTTATTTTCTGCTTTCCGAGCCCTAACACACCAAAGGTTGCCCGCTGCCTGGGCGGCCCGTCGGCAGCGCAGAGCACGCGGTAATGAATGCTCACCCGAGTGTGTGCTTGTTTCTGCCGGAAAGCCCTGGTAATTTGTTTATCTGTCTAAAGATTATGCAGCCCGAAAATCCACAATTTTATGCTGCCTTTGTAAATGATCAAGTCCTGTTTGATGAATGTATCCCGGCTCTCAGAGTCAGTGGCACGATGCTCCCCAAACATATTGGAAAGTGCTGATGCATGCCTTACGAAGAGGTAATATCTGTGTTCTAGCCCTACCATTGGTGCGCTGCTGTGGTGGTGACCTTAGACTCTGTTATTGGTTTGAAGTTAATTCAAATTTAAGTTTATGGTTCATTTTTTACTTTTTTGTCCTTAAGCACATCTCACCTAGTCATACTTGGTTGCATCCTGCTTGACTTTAAAATGAAGAGTGTTTAAAAAGTCTTTAGTTCAAGTACAAAAAAACATGTATCTTTTCTACATCTTTTGAATATTATTCTGTAGGAAAATATTTAGAATAAAAAATATATTTTTTTATAATGATCTTTTTATTATTTGTGGATTAATAATTGTTCTTTTATAATTTTCTTTCTCTCAACATTTTCTGCAATTTTCTTTAAGCTTGTTTGTTTCTTAATCATTTGTGGTTTGTTTTTATTGAATGCATTTTTCTTAGTTATGAAGGCATTTAACTGAATTTTTGTTTGTTTTTTATTTGTTTGTTTGTTTTAACCTTTAGCCTGAAAATGAGGACAAAGCTGTGATCTATGATAATATAGGGCCTAACGTCTGTATGGGGGACCATAAGGTAACAGCATTATTGATCTCTCTCTGTCAGCTGTCTAGTTTCCTTTAATTCATTAAGTCTGTCGTTTGAGTGTGCCGTATAGTTTTTCGTCAATTTTTGCATTTTCATTTTGAACCTTTCATTTTGCTTCACTCTCCTCGATCAGTATAATATAAACAGTAATAGGTTTCTCAGATGTCTTACACTCTGTCATGAGCTCTAACTGTGTAATTTCACAGGAGATGCCACTTCCAGCTAATTTGCACTAGCTTGAAAATACTTGCGGGATTGTTTACATATTTATTTGTTGAAGAGATGACTGCTGTCCTGCCATTCCTTTTATACACTTCATACTCAGCCCATGAAACAATGACGCCATACTCTCGCTGATCCCCCAATGCTGTATGTGTATTGCTTTTGTATCTTCTTCTTTTATATCACTCGCATATGGACACCATCCAATCAACATTGTTGTTGTGAGTGCAAGTAGACAAACAGTGCACTTATTTAAGAGAGTAAAGCTTGGTAACTTTTTCTGCTGCTTTCTTAATTTTCAGAGCTGTTACTGCTCACAACTTTCTTTCCTGTCTTCAGTAACCGTATTGTCATATTAATTGAAAATAATACTGAAAAAGCTATAAGCCTGGTCAGATGAATTAAAAGTTTTGTTGTTCTCACTTAGTCTATTAGTGGAAGAGAAAAAAATCATTCAGACCAATGATTAATGAAAAGCTGTAATTTTCGGTATCACAGTGAAAAATTGTTAGCAGAAACTGTTTTACACAGCTAAAATCTCATATTATTAGTGAATACATTACACCAAGAACATGGGGACTCATGTGATGTGTTTGCTTATTTCAGTTTCGAGTTGTTGAGTATGTGTTTCAAAACCAGGAAAAACATCTTATACTTTTCCATGTCTCAGAATTAGACCAAGTCTGATGCAATTACAAACACGTCTGTATCTTTCTTTTGCAGCCTGTCTTCCTGTCATTTCGAATAACAGCAGGGGCAGGTAAACCTAATGCAAATAAGCACAAGTGTTGTGTCGTGCAGTGATGTTGTGGTAAATATTATTTTATTATTATTATTATTACTACTACTACTGCTACAACTATTATTATTATTATTATTATTATTATTATTATTATTATTATTTCATTATTTTTGCACTCTAAAATTGGAAAAGTTATTTATCTACTGCTTTTCATTTTTAGCGTGCTTTCAATTTTGCAGGTAAGCGGTGCCAAAGGGTCGAGAAGATTTTTCAAGAAACCGACCTCTAAGAACAATATCAATATAAAAAACAGAAAAATTTGTATAGACTTTGCTGCCGAGTCCTTAAATCCACATCCATAGACTGCAATTGGTTCACAGTGCTTCAGACATCTGGACCGTGCTCAAGAATCACTTAAAACATTGGACTGTGTTCAAGAAATGCTTAAAATATTGGACTGTGCTCAAGAAAATCCCTCACTTACCTAACCCGTCATCATCTTCCCCGTAACGGACCCCGAAATATGGACAATTATTTTACACATCACAGGTTTGTTGCCAAAACTCTAATTGAAAATACTACATATTTTAGATACCATATTTACATTTTATAGAGATGCCTCTACATAGAAGATACTTCCATACAGTATGTAAGATGTTAAAAAAGTAAAGTGCAATGCAAAAAACTTGTATATCTATATTGGTAGATTTATTTGTATATTGAATTGTATATGTAGATGTATTGATGGTTTTAATGCCTTTTTTTTTTACCACGACTTTGTGGTCTCATTCCTAGAATAGATAGTTATTTTCATTTCATTGATTTTGTTATTGCTGATTTGGGTGGATATTATACACAGCCATGCCTCACAGCCATCAGCTACTTTTCGTTTTCTATACTTAAATTAAGGATAATTTTAAATTCGTACCAACATTCAATGTTGAAATAGGGATATCTTACAATTTTTCGGGTTGGATCTTGTTTCAGATGCCCCATCAGGCATTTAAAGACCTTTAAATCTAGCAGTTTTAGATTATTCAGCGAACCTGATTTATATAGCCTGTAAAAGGTATTTTAAGCAATGCCATAGATCATTCAAGTATATAAGATGTTGTTTATCACATATAGTAGTCTCACTTTATTCTTATTCTAACTTATTTCTACATAATATTATGGCTCTGAATGTGATGTTTTTAGATATGCTTGGGTATCTTAAACTGTAAACTTTTTTTTTCTGTTTTTGTTACTGCATTTCGGTGCCAAGTATTGTATACTTAAATAAGAACATTGTGAAAGACAACTTAAAACAGTTTAATCCAACAGTAGCTAAAGATGTGCAGTTATAAATTGTATATATTCTAATTGCAGAAAAAATTGCTTTTTAATTCTGTATGTAGCCATCTGCAACATTCAAAGCTATGTTGCAACTAATTACTCTCATAGCTCATTACAGCATTAAACTGCGATTAAGAAGTTTATTGATGAAACATAAACGTTTAGTTTATTGATTTAATTTAGTACACTACAGAGTTCACAAATTGTGTGAAACCGTCATTGATTCTTCATCAAAATGACTACAAGTGGAAATAATTTTCTGCCTGCCTCAGAATTGATGTCGTCTTGACAGTGTGATTTGGTTCTAGACAAAACTGCTTGTAAACGTTTTTTGCAGGTCACGTGATAGCGTGGAAATGGCCGCGTTATAATCGCATTTTTTTCCTTCAAGCAAATAGAGATTCTACCCCGTAGACTACATGGCCTTTAGAGTTGGTTATGTGGCTCTGAAGCAATAAAATTATTAGAATTCAAATTGTGTGATTTATTTTCGTCAAATGCATTTAATCATTGGCTGCCTTCTTTCGCATAAATCGTTGCCTTTATCTTCACTTAATTGTCAAGTTTTTTCTGCCTTTTTAATATCCGTGTACTGTAACTGAAGATTGTACTTAAAATATGTTATTATCCCGTACTATATAACTAATCCCCAATATTTTTTTTATTTCGTTTTCCCGTTGTCTGTTTAATAGTCTTTGTTTCACATAGGCTAGCTGCAATAGTTATGCGTAATTAAAATGTACTACTAGGTCACCGTTAGAATCAACCAGGAATCCCCGACAAAAACATTCGTTCATATCAAGACCATAAACCTTGCATCAAAATCACTAAAAGTATTTTTTTCTCTTTTTTTTAAAAAAAATACCCTATTGTTAAAAAACTATCGAAAAATCATGTTGTATGAAAATTGCAGATTTTTAAAAATCGTGAAGGGAAATCATTACATGAGCTGTTGTTTTTAACTTTTCTCCGTTGTGAGAAATAACGAAAATTATATCCAAGTAAAAGTAAAACGAGTAGTTTTCTAACTAGCTGTAACATTACGGATGCGTGTGCGCGCCAGTATATTGAACTGTGTACTATGTAGCGGTTAAATTGGTGTGAAACGGTACCATGAGGTACGTATTGATCTTAATTTAAGTTGATCTTGGTATTTAATGAATTGTTCGTCTAAATTACATGGGTCTTATGTTAAACTCTTGAGTACGTTAATTTTGTGTGTCTCCTATCACATGTAGTTCAAGCAATAAAATAGTGACTTGTTTATACCCGAGGGCTATATTTTGGTGGTATTGTTGCATTCCCTTTCGTAAATGGGTAATATTACAGTATCAGTTCATTTGATACTAAACTATGAGCCACATATATTTACAAATTATAAACGTCACAGATCTAGAATATAACGGAAGCTTAGTAGTAAAAGGCGCACCCAAAGCGCCCCATGTTAGTTTACCATTAACAGGTTGTAGTGCATATAATATTGCACAATCGGAGTCGTTTCATGTTGTCCCAATGTTGGAACAATAATCTGTAATGTGTATACTGCATCCTGTTAAAATACTACAAGATATATAAAACAATATCTTGTTAAATAATTTATTGATAATACAAAGATTTTCTTCCTACATTTTGTGGAAGTAATAATACTCTCTTAATTCAACATAAACAGTAATCGAGTTTTTTTGGTAAAATAAAAACATAAATTCCTTAAAATGTAACAAAAAAACTGTCTAAATGGAAAATGTGAACAAAACTTTTTACATCATAATTTACAACATTTTACATTATGTACCTGCGCAGTCTTTTAAACTTTTAAAACAGGGAATTGCTTGTTAAGTGACACTTGACAACAAAATTAAGCTAGTAATAACGCAAGAAAAAATTTTGTTTTTGGGGGGGGGAAAAGTTGCTTCCCTGTACTGGATGTCTTCATCACATAACTTATTCAGTAAAAAATATATACATCTCACTTACATTATCGTCTGTACAACATATATCTCATATTTCCAATTACCGCCCTCTCCTCAATCTTTGAACGGTATATACCCTGGTTATTTTAGCTTTTGGAGTATCGAACAGCAGAGTCCTCCGCCCGCGTTAAGTTATCACAAGGCGTCCGAGCTGTTACTGCAGGGACTGATCAAGGACATATTCGTCGCTTTGTGCTTCTTCAGCAGTCTCGTTATTTTTTCGTCGTCTGAATTTGGATCCAGTGGTTTATTGTACTCGTCGTCGTCCTCATTGTCCGAACTTTCCTTCATTTTCTCCGTTTCCGAATCGTGTTTTTTCTTGGCTGTGGCCATTTCAGCTGCGTGTCGCTTCCGCCATTTGGTTCTTCTGTTTTGAAACCAAACCTGTTGATTAAAAATGGGAAGAGTTACGCAAAATATCACTTGGGGTGGTAGCTGATTATATTCACTGCATGAGCTTCAAATAAATTCAATATATGCCTAATATAAGCAGTATTGTTAATGTTTATTAGGTAGGAATATATGACGGGGCGTAATTAAAGAATATAAAATACTAAAAAAAAAAAAAAAAGAATCGGTTACAGTATTTCACTTCTACTGCTAACAACAGCAACAACAATAACAATAGGTTCTCGGTTTGACACAGCGTGATATTTAATCATGGGGAGGGAGCATCGTTACCTTCACTTGGCTTTCGGTCATCCCTAAAGAATATGCAAGACGTGCTCTTTCGGGACCTGCCAGGTACTTCGTCTGTTCAAAAGTTTTCTCCAAAGCGAAAATTTGTTGTCCTGAAAATGTAGGTCTGGAATGCTTCTTCTTGCCGTCCTTGTCAAGCATCATGTTCGCCTGGGCTAAAGAGATAAACCTCAGTGTCAGTAAAAACGTACAGATGCATAAAATGCTGCTAATCAGTTTCAACACCACTTAGGCTACATGATCCTCATACCACACCGAACTGTTTATTTTCCTTTATTACACCGATTCTGTATTGTTGACTGAAAACAGCTAATTACGATTTTATTTTTAAATGATACTTCTCAAATCTTCTACAAATATAAACTTAAGTAACACTGCAACACTTTAATATAATGAATATTTTATTATTTGTGTTATTGTTGTTGTTATTGTCGTTGCATAACGGGACATTTTAGCAATAAGGTCCACTGAAACATTCCAGCTCGTTCATTAAGTTAAAGATTATAACAGGCGTCCATGACTTCTAGTATCGTTTTCAAGCACCCAAGCATTGTATTGCAAACTTAACACTTACCGGGACAAGGGACCCGTGGGTCTCGCCACGGAGAACTCTGCATTACACCAGGCCAAAATATGGGAGCTCTGCCAGGCAGTTCAGTCAAGGGCTTCGGGTACCGAGAAACGGCAGCCGGGTTAAAGTACATCCCCGCGGAGGTGGCCAGCCCATTTATCCTGGGAAATCCCGAGAGCAGTTGTCCAGCTGTTGTAATCGGTCTGCCCAAGATGTCGCTTATTCCATGCGGCGTACCCAGAGAGAGATGCGAGTTCAGGTTTGTGAGCGAAGGTGCCTTGAAGCCCGAGGGATTTTGCAAAGTGTAAGGGAATAAAGATGTCTTCATCTCGGTCATATTGTGTAAAGCTGCCAGCGGTGTACTGCCTAGGACGAAAGCATTCTGCCGATTAGTATCCATCTGCCCAACTGCTAACATTTGTGAGCATGAAACACTGAATGCGCGACGGTAAAAATAAAAACCAAATAAAAAAAAAGGTAAAAAAAAAAGAAAACGGTCAGAATACACAGACACAACTACCAGCCTTGTGGAGCTGATTCCGAAAGCTGCAACAGTTAAAAGTTCAACGCAAAAAAGCTTACTTTTTCTACAGCGCAGTTTTCTAACTTGTTCGTTCAAAAAAAGCTTGACTTCAGACAGTCTCTTGTGTATTTGCCGTGTGCGTCCACAATGGGTATCCACTCGGAAGTAGAAAGAACAGATGATGTGTTTTAGTGGTTTGGATGTAGTACGGAGTAAGGTCGACTTTCTAAATTGACTCGGGCTGTGATGTGAGCGCAGCGGGATGCGCTGATAACCGCGCAGCCACCTGCGTGCGCATTTTTCCCATTGGATAACATTAAGCGAGTCTGCACTCTGATTGGACAACGCGGACTTTTGTACTTTGCATGCGCCTCACTTTGACAAAGCTTCACTCTATCAAGATCTTATTGTGCTGCTATTAATGACGCATCGTACTGTAGAAATCATTGTTTCAAGATTTGACAAAAAGATATATTTACTTTATAATCAATTACCGCTGACAAAGTAAGTACATTAACCTCAATACAAGTATGTTGTACTATGATTTTCAGTGTTGCAAGGGAATTCAGAAGGACGATAGACCGGATAAGAGCCTTAAAAGAAATCTTGATTTTATTGCGTAATGTAAATATAACTGGCTAAAATGAACATATTTCAGGCAATCAGACCGTAATTCATTAAATGTTTATTATCTTTATTGTACCCAACAAAAATGTCAATAGTAATTATTTTATAACTAATAATATGTACAAAGTTTTAGAGTATACAACTATAAAACACAAGCAGATGCATTTATAATCACTGAGATAAGCAAAAATAAACAATTAAACTTTGATTTTTCTCAAGTATTATAACTGACTAGAAGTTTCATTTAGGCCTGTTGTAAGTCAAATTATTTGCGTGCAATGTTCGCGTAAGAGTTTTGTATTAAAATCTTTAGCATTGTTTTAAAATATGTGGGATCTCTGAAGAAAAAAATATAACATATTTTATTAGGCTCTCCATGCATTTTTGTGATAAGTCCAATAATGTCTTTGTTTTCATTATGACAAGTCTTTTTGCTTTCGATTTGCTTTAGATTTGCTTTATAGTCTAGTACGGCTAAAAAAGCGCAAACCCTTCACCGTCATCACACTGAGTGGTGCACTTAGCCTCTGCGTATTTTTTATGGATATGTGATTTTTATCTTCGTGACATATAGCCTATTCAAGTAGGAATTAAAACACGCAGCACAAGCTTTAGTAAGTATAGAAAACTTTTATATTACTGAGAAGCATAATTATTTTGAGTGTATCACAGGACAATATTTATTATATTAAACAACCTAAGCGAGTAGGGAAAATGGTACGTATTTTACCGTTTGTTATGTCTTGTGTTATTAATTTTACTAAGTTATTATTATTATTATTATTATTATTATTATTATTATTAGTCCTATTATTATTATAGGCCTATGTATTCCAGTTCTAGTAAACTTTTTTGGTACCGGTTTTGTTTCGCGGATTATAAAGTTCCTAATAATGGGGAAGGTTAACCGATCCAAAAATGACAGGTGACATCGCCTATATCGATAGTTCTTAGCAACTTTTTAAGTGGATACGAAGGACTATGTAAATTGATACATTTGGGTAAAGTTTAAAAAATAATTGTATTTTGCAAACATTTCATGGCCTATAATTACATTGTCATTGCGAAATCTTTGTACTTTATAAATACATCACGCTTAAAGCATTTAGTAAATATTTCGTCATTTTGGCAATTACCATTCCTCTATTTATTACTTGACTTACTTGAGGGGATGAGAATCTGCAAGAAATCTATCATTTGAGCACATTGAATTTTAAGTTCTTGGTAATAATTGTTCGTTTTAATTTTGCCCTTTAACACTACAAACCTTAAATAATATCGATTCTTATAATATAATAATGGAACTTAACATCTATTTCAAATTAGTCATTCTATTTTGAAACACGTTTGTACGGCAGCAGTTTTGGGCTATTCTAAATATTTTATTCGTGCATAAATGTTTTAGCGTCAAAACGATGTGCTGCGCCTTCTACAAGTTAAGTCCGAAACTACTATCTAAAAGCTTCCAAATCCCGCTCTTAGAAAAACAAAGTTGACCGATAATGATTTGTAAATTTAATCATGTATTTGGACAAGAATGTTGTATTTCTGTCACAGTTTTGTGGGAACGATATTATTACAAAATTGGCAGAAATACGCCCAATTTGATCTACTCCACTCAAATTGCAAGCGATTTTTACGTACATACTTGAAAAACACTCCAAGCAGGCCTATTTAATATGAACTGAAGCACTTATATAATTTATTGTTTTCAGCCGCAATTACAAATGTTAGCTATATAAATATCGTTTCCTGCTTAGTAACGTAGATACGACAATTATAACCAAAATATCAACAACGTCAAGATATTTGACTCAGAGGAGATACTTGATGTAATACTTGGAACACACGACATGGATTTTATGCGCCATCTGGTGGTCATTGTTGGACGTGCATGTAGCCGTTCAGTTTGCACAATGACAGTCTGTTGGAGGAACCAATGCATTAAACTTTCGATAAAAAATATACTCTGTGGAATGTCATATGGTGAATCCTTATTATTATTTTTTTAACGTTTTTATACTGAATACCTTTATCTATCTATCTATCTATCTATCTATCTATCTATCTATCTATCTATCTATCTATCTATCTTTCATCTAATCAGTCTGTCCATATGTTCGTTCTTCATCACTTGCATACAGTTTGCAATTTCTACGATATCCATGGAACTGGGGTGGAGTTCATGTTTCCGGAAGGAGTTTATGGACTGATATTTGAACAGTGGCTTCCTTCATCATCATCATCATCATCATCATCATCATCATCATCATCATCATCATCATCATCGTCGTCGTCATCGTCATCCATTCCTCCTCCAGCGGCTATCCATGAAATGAGCTGCGGGACTAAGGGAGAAAAACCGAACTGTTAGTGAGACAACTGGAGTACCTTGGAAAATGTGACCTTTATTAGTAACAGTTTTTTATTGATGGTGGCACAGTGGGCGGTTTGTTGCTTCATACCTCCAGTAAGGGGGGGGGGGGGGTTCCTCCCAGTTTCTCTAATGACATGCAGAATTCCGCATGGTGTATATTGTGTAGGAGTGTGTGTGACATTCCATGGACTGGCATCCTATCCAGACTGCTCCCCTACCGCTCCCTCACAGCGCTGATCAGGATAAGCAGTTGGAGGATGGTAAGGATGGATGAATGGGTGGTCTTTATTGGACAGTCTACATGTTAAATGTCTAATGTTCTTTAATCCACTTCATTGGGTTTAATTTAAACACATTTTTTAAGTTACAAACATGTGTTTGTGATTTTGCTTGACATTCACAGAGCAAATATTGGACCACCCTCAAGCAGGGAATTGATTGGAAATCCACTTTTATCCAAGATTTCTCACACAATTATTGCTAATTCTTTTCTATGTTGTATATAGTTTGACACCTTGAACGTTGGGAAGCTGGGAAATGTAGTACTTGTGCCTTCATCACCTGATGGATTGTTTGTACAGACCCTTAAAGTCCTATCAGATTTTAACAACAGTCACAAATGTAGCAGCAATAGCAGCAGTAATAATTGTATTTTTAAGAGGCAGCTAAATATGGAATAATCATAAAGCAAGTTACACAGTCCTATCATCATGCCACATTGTGAAGTACACAACCGGTAAACTGAATATAATAGTTACATATTAATTCCCAAAGGATAAAAGGAAAGTAGTTGGCTTCTCAAATATTATAATTTTCTTTTCCTCGAAAAATATGGATATTTAAATTAAACATTCTATTAAGAGCACGTATAACATAGTCTTCTGGTGTTTATCAATGAATGACTCGAAAGACATTTATAGACAATGCCCTACAATACGGAAAGATGCATTCGGAAGATCTGTGAATTCAAATAAATATTCCTCACATCGTAATTATAGTAATGGTTTTCTTTTCTCAGCTTGTCCACCAGATTCTAGATTTATAGCTGTGTTTAAAACTGCTGAATGGATCATTTATTATTTAGAAAAACTTAACCCGAAAAGCGTTACTTCCTGTGGAAATTCAAGTGAAAACCAGTCATTTCTAACCTCTTAACACATAATGACCACCAGATGGCAGCAACTATTAATGGAATGTCATTAACATTAGTATTTATGCTGAATGTCAAAAAATGTAATAAGTGTAATAAAACCACATGTTGCTATGAATATAGGTACTTATGTCTATTTATGTTATCTTATGTCTATTTCTATCATATCTATTGATCTATGGGAGACTAGATCAAAGTTATTTTACATATTCTTTTTTGTCATCATAATGGTTGAAATACTTTAATTTGTTCATTCATCAATTCACGTCCAGTCCATTTACGCTGGGCGAGGTTAAGGGGCGTGCTTTAATCCCTCTGGTATCAAGAGAAATATAGTGTTTCCCAATATTCAAAAGTAGTAAGATCAGAAATTTAATGGCAACATCCATGTAGAAGTCTAAATGACTGCAAAGGGTTGACCAGGTTTTTTTTAGTGAGATTTTGAGAAAGGGAAGGTAGTCAAGTTATGAAATCAGCTGACCTTATTGAAAGTGGTTAGCTGTTTCTTCAAGAATAAAGTATGAGCTAAATTGTACTCCAAATCAAATCTAGGATTGTGAAAATTGTGACATTGCCATTCATCAGTTTAAAGGGTCAATTGGAACAGAAATAATAATTAATCTACATATATACTGTATATGTGTGTGTGTATATATATATTATACCTACCTTATAGTACAATTATAATGTGTTGTCCTTGGTTAGTTTGGTTTCAGGATTTTCATATTTCATATCACTTTAAAATGTTGTGTTGAATTACATGTGTTCCACAGAAGGTCAGCATTTAGCCCTCATTCATCTATATTTATTTTCCACACCTTGTTCACATTGCAGAATACCTGCTGTGGAAACCTTGGGGGAAGACAAGATGTTTGTTATGTTGTTATGTTTCACTCAAAGTGTCACTCCAAGGAGAGCATCTGAAAGCAGGTCCTTTTTTACATAATGATACTTACATGCAGGGCCATAGGAACACCGAAGGGGGGAGCGAAAGGACATGTACCCTATAATATTTAATATGCCACCCTCCCCAACCATGCCCAGGATAAGAGGAAGATGGGTGGATTTATTTTCAAATAAAAAAAATAAATAAA